GTATAAGAGACAGCTGCTGTGCCCGCCGGGGCCGCCCCGGCATCCCTCCCAGCCCAGCACCCTCACCCCTGCCGCCATCCCCACCCCTCTGTCCGCTTTGCTCTCTCCGCCCGAACCCACAAACACCATCTCCAGCGTCTCCAGCACCCCCAGCACCCTCCGTCTCCAGCACCCCCATCTCCTGGCTCCCCGGGCATTTGCTGCCCATGACCACGTGCATCTCTCTGCCAGCTTCCATCAATGAAGATGAGCAGGGCATCATCCCACGAGCCATGGCTGAAACCTTCAGACTCATCGACGAGAATGACCTGATCGACTACACGGTCCGAGTGTCCTACCTGGAGGTGTACAAGGAGGAGTTTCGGGACTTGCTGCAGGTGGATACAGCCAGCAAAGACATCCAGATCCGGGAGGACGACAAAGGGAACGTTGGTATGTGTGGCTGGGCACAGGCTCCCTTTTCTCCCCATGCCCAAGGCCAGGGTTGGGTTATCTATCCCTGAAGGCAGAGCCAGGTCTTCTCCCTCCATCCTTGCGTCCCTCCCTGCAGCAGATTGCTGTGCTTAGCCCTGTTCGGTGTGGAAAGCCAGTCTGTGCATGGCACGGTACGGTCAGGGCGACGGCACCAGGCTGTGCAGAGCAGGTGTGTCCTCGGGCAGCCTGTCCCTCCCAGCCACAGCTCTGTTTGCTGTTGCAGTGCTCTGCGGTGTGAAGGAGTCAGAGGTGGAAGGGCTGGACGAGGTGCTGAGCCTGCTGGAGATGGGGAACACAGCCAAGCACACGGGAGCTACCCACGTCAACAGGCAGTCGAGCCGCTCGCACACCATCTTCACAGTGACCATGGAACAGCGACGTGGGGCCGGCCGCCTCCCCCTGCACCGCCACCCCCCCTCTGTCCCTGCCTCAGGCCAGGTCCTGGTTTCCAAGTTTCACTTTGTGGACTTGGCGGGTTCGGAGCGAATTGTGAAGACGGGAAACACGGGGGAGAGGCTGAAGGAGAGTATCCAGATCAACAGTGGCCTCCTGGCCTTAGGCAACGTCATTAGTGCCTTGGGAGACCCACGGAGGAAGAGCAGCCACATCCCCTACAGGGACTCCAAAATCACCAGGTACAGCTGGGAGTGGGACCCCCACATCTCAGGGGCTCTTGGCCCAGCAGGAGGGAGGTGGTCCTTCTCTCTGCCTTTCCCATGCCCAGCGTGCCAGATTTGGTGGCAGAGTCCCCAGGCTAGCCGAGAGGAGCTTGCAGGGCTGGTCATCCCTTCTGCCCTCAGACCAACTGCTTGATGGTATGGGGCCAGCTGACCTGCTGTGCCTCAGCACAGTGAAGGTTTCAAGTAGGGAAGCTTGAGGAGCAATGAGGCCAGAATAGGAATAATGGACTAGCTCACTGCAGCACTGCGGAAGATGAAGCTTGCATAAGTCATGCTGCTGAAGCTGAGATGGGGTGTCACCATGGGTTATCCTCACTGTCCTGACTGGCAGTGAATAAAAACTGGTTCCAGTAGGCTTGTTTGATGGTCTGCAGTTAGTTTTTACCTCGAGCAGGTGGCCTTCGCAATCTCCAATAGGCTCCCACACAGCACGAGCCTAGCAATGATGACAGAGTTGGGGAGCTCCCAGCCTCAGGAATTATTTAGATGCAAACTTGCCACAGTGCAAACTGTTATTCCTCTGCTTAATGATTCTGCTCACTTCACTTGTGTTGAACCTGACACAGAGCAAAAATATTGTTTTCCTTGTGTTTAACACCTGAAAAGGGTTGGAAACCTTCTGGTTCCTGCATGATCTTGTATTTCAGCTGTTTTAATCACTGTGCTCTTCCCTAGGATCCTGAAAGACTCTCTGGGGGGGAATGCCCAGACTGTGATGATAGCCTGTGTCAGCCCATCTTCCTCCGACTTTGATGAGAGCCTCAACACGCTGAATTACGCCAGCCGGGCTCAAAACATCCAGAACAAAGCTGTGGTGAACTGCCGCAAGGAGACCGAGCACGTTGAAGAGCTTCACCTGCAGATAAAAAACCTGCAGAAGGCACTGGAACAGCGGCACCGCTCCGAGACCCGTATCATCAACCGCTCGGCCACTGCCAAGCAGTGCGCACCGGACCCCACGGCTCGGCTGCTGGCGGAGTGTGCACATTACCGGACCTGCACCGACGCTGCCTACCGGCTGCTGATGGAGCTGCAGGAGGACAGTAACCTGACAGTGGAGCAGATCCTGCGGGTTAAGGAGTGGTTGTGTGCAGTGGAGAGCGAGAGGAGCGAGCTGACCTCAGCCGGGCTGGATAGCGGCATTGAGAGCACCTCTGCGGAGGACCAGAGCCCTGAGGCACAGGGCTCAAAGTTGGCAAAAGCCCAGGTAACGGTTGGGGTGGTTTAGCTCTGAGGTGGGGTTCGTCTGATGGCCACTGAGTACAGCAGCCTCAGCATGGCATGGTGAAAGGGTCAGGAGAGGGAAGGGAGAAGCAACATGGCCAAGGGGCTGTAGGAGGCAGAATGATGTGGTTCTCAGAGCAGGCAGGGAGAGGTTGGATTCAGCTGCGGCCATTTTCCAGGAAAAATCTGGGTCTGCAGAGCTGCTGTGTCCTTGCAGAGTTCAGCATGGGAAGGGAAGGACAAAGGTACATGCTGATGCTGCCTCTTACATTTTGAGCAGCAGGCGAACACCGAGAAGAGGTGTGAGTCCATCAAAGACGAGCAGGTGGCCAAACTGCAGAGGCAAGTAGAACGTCTGGAGGAGGAGAACCGTGATTTCCTGGCTGCCCTGGAGGATGCCATGGAGCAGTATAAGCTGCAGGTACTTCTGGGCTGTGCTTTCTTTATAGGGACCTGCCCCACTTCCCTTCCTCCCCAGGAGAGCGCAGCCCAGCTTTTGGGTTCCTCTGCTGCAGGTCTGGGATCCACATGTACATAACCACGTTTTTCTCGTTGCTTCCTAGAGCGACAAGCTGCAGGAACAGCAGGATAAGATCTCAGAGCTGCATGTGCGCTTGGAGATGGCGATGCCAAACCTGTGTGTGCCAGGACTGCTGGAAAACCTCCACCTGGTGACTGCCAGCCAGAGACCTCACACGGCCCCACTGGATGCTGCCCCGACCCATGGCCTCAGTGGGCTCTCCCCAGGGCTCCTTCCCGCTGAGCAGAATGGAAGAGCCCTTTGCAGGAAGGTGAGAGCACAAGTCTGTGCCATCGAGGAACTGCTGCCTTTTCGCCTGGGGGCCCTCCACTGTAGGAGCTGCTTTTGCCCTGCTGTTGAACAGAATCTTGTCAGAGGGGTAATCCATAGGACTGTGCTCAGTGTTCACATCCAAAGAGTTTCACAACTCTGGCAAAAACAGCCCAGCTTCAAAACTGAGGCTTTTACTTTGATGTTACAGACACGTCCCAGATTTGCTCAGCACCTGAGCCCCAGAAGGCAGGAGGGCAGGCAGCTGGGTCTAGCAACACACCAGTTCTGAAAATACACTCAACTCTTGTTGCTCTTCTTTGTGTCTAGCAGTGATGCCCAGCTGAGAGCTGCTTTTTCTAACACTGGCTCTCACACAGCATGTTTCCTCTCTTTCCAATTCTCTACCCAGCAGCTCGACAGCAACCCCTCCTTCCAGGAGGAGGACCTGGCAGGCTGGCACCTGAACCACGCACAGTGCCTGACCAGCAATCCAGAGATTGCAGATGCAGCACTGAGGAGGGAGCTCAGCCAGGACTCGGAGAAGCCCTCAGAGGTGTCCTCGGGAGAGGAGGAGGAGGGGGAACAGAAACGGTCCCTGTCCCAGCGCCGGTGAGTTGGGGCTGTCCCAGCACTGCGCGGTGCCCTGGCAGTTGTGTGAGCTGGCTGTCCCACCTCTGCAGCTCAGCTCTCACGTAGGATGTAGAAGCAAATGCTGCCTCTGGGGCCAGTGATTCTGCCGAGACAGCTGCCTGCTTTCTGGGGAGCTAATTACCATCTTTCCTGAAAACAGCTAGTTTCTATCTCTTTCTGAATCATGAGGGAACTCTTCCCTTACTGGGAACAGCTCTAGCAGTGCCCAGACCCAACTGATGAATTTGCTGTTCCTTCTAGAAACGGGATCCAAAGCTGGACCAAGAAAGAGATTTACAAGTTGAGCGAGGAGCTGAGCGGAGGCAGTGCCCACTTGATTCAGGAGGAGCAGCTGGAGGTGTTAAAAGGCAAGTAGCAACCGTAGATTGTTGGACAGTCTTCCTTGGGCTGGCGGTGCTTTGCTGTCGATGTCCCACCTGGATGAGCCTGGAGGACAAAAATGGAGCAGATGACAGTCTAGCTGCTTTTGTTAAGGAGAAACTAGAACTGCTGGGGTCCGTCAAGAGCTGCATGCTTTGGTGGAAGCTGCGGGTGACTCTAGGCGATGCTGTGCCAGATCTTAGGTACAGATCGGAGATGGGACTGTCCGTCTGTCACCCAGCTGCAATGACCTTCCTTACCTGGGAATCTGTGTTGCAGAGGTCTGTAGGAGGCGGGAGCCGCTGCTTGGTCCCTGGGAGCGCCTGCCAGGGAAGGACTCCGAGTGGAGGCTGGTGCAAGCACAGCAGAAGATCCGAGAGCTGGCGATCAACATCCGCATGAAGGAGGAGCTGATCACGGAACTCATTAAGACAGGTGCAGAGCTGTTGGTGGGAATATGCACCCATTCCCCATGAAATCCCCTCCTAGTCATGATGCTTGGTCTCTACTCCCATCCTCACCTTCCCTCCCTGTGTTGCTGGTGCTCAGTCCCTTCTCCTATAAGCAGCAGAGCTCTGTTTCTCCATCCTTCTTGCTGAGTGAGACCCTTCCCATTGGTTTCTCCCTTCCCTGGAGTAGCTGAGGGAAAGGAAGCATTCAGTCTCTACAGCTAGAAATACTTGGGGAGAGAGAGGAAAGGTCCATCCCTCAGCAGGATCCTGGCTGTGAGGGAAGGGAGTGTGGAGGTCACGGCGGAGGGGG